GATATGTTGGCTACCACATCCATATCTAGACCCACAGGGAGTGAGAGAGATGTTGGTGGTACAACATTAATTTGTTCTTTTGTGGAGGAACATCTAAACCCATAGAGAGTTAGAGAGACGCGTTGGTATCTACATTCATCTTAAAATCATATTTCATCTAATATTGGTTTGAGTTTTCACTGGAAGTATATGGAATTGCTCGGCCCTCTATAATTGTTCGTTTCTCTCTATAATAAGATAAAATTGTTCGGCACTCTCTATAATCAGATAAAATTGTTCGGCTCTCTATACAAGTAGTACTCTCATGCTTAAAGTAATCATTGTAACAAGAGATTATCTTTTTGAGTTTTGTATGGGCTTATACGATGGCAAAACTGGTTTGAGTTTTCTACGGGCTTATAGGATGACAAAACTAATTGTGCCTTGCTTCAAGTGTACTCCATTATCTTCTATTTTTGAAGAGATTTGTTTTATGTATTTTTATATTTCATGCAACACATGTAACACATAATTTTATTTATGATTTTTAATGCGCTTAATAAAATTTTATATTTTAAATTAATAACTTTAAATTTAAAATTTATTAAATTTTTTAAAATTTGCATTTCATCATTTCAAAATTTTAAATATAAATTTATGAATTAATATGCATCTATAATTAATCATAACCAAATTTTACTATTATTATAAACTTTAGAATGTTAGAAAATAACTTTTTGTCGTTACCACAAAGTAGAAATCTAATTTTGCATCATTTAGAAAATTTTAAATAAATCTATATTTCATAGTGTGATGTATAATATAAAGAAAATCAGTATAGAAATAAATAATACCAAATAATGAGTAAAAATTGTTTAAAATAATTTGTTTAAACAAAAACCATAAAGTCTTTACTAACTTCAATATTCATTTACAATCAAAAGAATAAGATAATTACCATATTTTTTTTATCAAGGCCAAAAACGACCAAATAAAAAATGAAAAACAATAAATGTTAGAATAAAATTAACTATACAAAATTGATATGTCAATGTAAGCTGCAATAAGAATTATTGGAAATCAATTTTTGTAATGCACATTCTAGCAAGGAATTAGCGACTTCAAGTTTACATTATAATAATTAGTTTTAAAAAATAACATTTCATATTTTCCTTAAAACACAACATACACATCCACGAAAAATTAAGATGTTTGAATATCATAGTAAAAAATTTAAAATAAAAGACAACGAAAATAAAATATCTTAAAATTTAGCCAAAAAATATAAATAAAAAAATAGAAAATAAAAGTTGCTGCTAATTCCCCCTCTCTCTCCCTCTTTCTCCTTTGTTATTGAACAGATACAAATTTATAGTTCCTATCCGATTCTTTTTCTTGCTTCTCCCCTCTCTCCCTCCAGCCTACTTTCTCTCTCTAGGAGTCCATCGTATTTGACATTTGGTTTGGGAAAATTTTGCACCGAAAAGTTTTGAACAGGTAAAGATACTTCATCCCTATCTCTCAATAAACGTCCTATTTCTCTGCATCTTTCTCTCACTCTCCCTTACCTAAAATTTTTGGATCTCTCTCTTCTCTACACATACTCTCTATCTCCGCGTCTCTATATCTCTCTCCCCTCTCATCTCTCCTAAAATCTCTCTAGGAGTTGCCCTCTTTATATGTCTTTTTATTTTGTTTAGGAGTTTGTTTATATCATTAATAAATACGTTCTTTCTATACATATCCCAAACTATCTCTCCTCGCATCTCTCCTAAAATCTAGATGTTACTTATTATGCATAGTTTCTCTCTCGCATCTCCCTCTCCCGTTGTCTTTCAATAAGAAAAACAAAGAATCTCAACATTTAAATGCAAATTGTGACCCTAATTGTCTTGTCAATTTTTCACATGAATTTCTCATTCTTTTTGTGTTTTTCTTTTGATTGAATTGAATATTTAAGAAACCAAGTTGTTTTAAATAATCATAGATAATTATGTAGTACTAAAATCAAGACATAAGTATAATATTTAAATTCTTAATAAATGCCACGCATCTCTCTCTTTCTCTGATGGAGGTGCATATTCTCTCTCCTTCTTCTTGGGCTTGTTTAATAAGCGGAAACAAGGTCATGAACTTTAAATTGGAAGTTCCTCCTATTTGGGAAGATAGAAGTTATTGTTGGAAGTTCCTCTTATTTGGGAAGATAGAAGTTATTGTAAGAAGTTCTTGATTTCTGTGTTTGATAACCTGGTTTATGTGTTTGATAACTTCCTGGAAAGTTAAAGAAGTTCTTGGTTTTTATGTTTGATAACTTCCTGGAATGCTAAAACAAGTAAGTTTTAAGTAATAGGCAAGATGTAAAATGTTAAAATTGAGACATAGATATTATTTATTTATTTTATTATTTTTTAAAATTTTATTTTTTGAAATAAAATATTAATTGAAAGTAAAGTACGGTGGATTGAGAAAGAGAGTTTTATTAAGGATGAAAGAAGCGTAGAGATTTCTACACCAGAACTTTCTATTTTAACCTTACCAACTTTTATCAAATACAAAAGACCTGCTACCGTAACAGGTAAATTCCTTCTTTTAAGAAGCAACTTTATATTATTAAACATGCCCTTAAAGAAAAGATGTGTCTAATATGTGTCTTATAATAATGGGAATGTGCCTCATATTCCTGCTCCTTCTTATTTTTACGATATGAGATAAATACCTTTAGGGCCTGTTTCGATAAGAGGCAATTATGAATCTTAGATATTTGAAATCCTAATGAAATCTATGGATTTTCAATATCAAACATTTTTGTTATGAATTCTTTAAATCTCTTGTTTGGATAAATTATACAAAATTTATGGATTCTTTGCAAATCACTTCCATGTCCATTGTTTGGTAACAAAATTTGATACATTTTCTCTCTCTAAAATTTTTATATGCTTTCTCTCTCTAAAACTCAAAATTTGAAATAGTGTATCTATAAAAATTTTGAGATAGTTTCTATCTCTAAAATTTGATATGGTTTCTCCCTCTAAAATTTAATATGATTTCTATCCAAAATTTAAAATTTGAAAGTGTCTATCTAAAAATTTTGAGATAATTTCTCTTTCTAAATTTTTAGATGCTTTACCCTCTTTAAAATTTAATATAGTTTATCTTTTTAAAATTTTAAGATACTCTATCTCTAAAACTTAAAACTTGAGATAGTTTCCTTTTTCAATAAGTTTGAGAACATTTCTCTCTTTAAACATTTTAAGTAGTTTCACTCTCTAAAATATGATATAGTTGTTCTCTCAAATTTTAAGATATTTTCTCTTTCTAAAAGCTAAAATTTGAGATAATTTCTCTCTAAATTTTTTGCAATAGTTCCTTTTTCTAAATTTTTATGTATTTTCTCTCTCTAAAATTTGATATAGTTACGCTCTTAAATTTTAAAATGCTTTCTCTCTCTAAAACTTCAAGTTTGATATAGTATAAATTTTGATATATTTTCTCTATTTAAAACTTAAATTTTAATATAGTTTCTCTCTAATTTTTTTGAGAATGTTTCTCTCTCTAAAAATTTCATGTATTATCTCTATCTAAAATTTGATACAGTTTATCCCTCAAAAATTTTAAAATACTTTCTCTCTCTAAAACATAAATTTTGCAATAGTTTCTCTCTCCAAAAATTTTGAGATAATTTCTATCTCTAAAATGTTTTAGGTAGTTTCTCTCTCTAAAATTTCATATAATTTTTATCTTTAAAATTTTAATATATTTTCTCTTGCTAAAATTCCAAATTCGAGATAGTTTCTCTCTAAATCTCAAAATTCGAGATAGTTTCTCTATCTAAAAATTGAGATATTTCTCTCTCTAAATTTTTTTTTTTGGCTGTTTCTCCTTTTAGAATTCTCTTTCTAAAAGTTTAAGAATACTTTCCCTCTCTACAATTTTAAAAATAATTTCTCTCTACAATTCTAAGAATACTTTCTCTCTCTAAAACCTAAGATTTGATATAGTTTCTCTCTCTAAAATTTAAATATGAGATTTTTTCTCTCTCTAAAAGTTTTGAAATAGTTTATCTCTCTAAAAAATTGTGATAGTTTCTCTTTCTAAAAATTTGCATGTACGTTCTCTCTCTAAAATATGATAGTTTCTCTTTAAAACTAAAAATTTGAAATAGTTTTTCTCTTTAAAATTTTGAGATAGTTTATCTCTCTAAAATATTTTAATACTTTCTCTCTCTAAAATTTTAACATACTTTCTCTCTTAAATTTAAATATACTTCTCTCTAAAAGTTAAAATTTGAGATAGTTTCTCTCTCTAAAATTTTGAAATAGTTCACCTCTCTAAAAAAATTTGGTACTTTCTCTCTCTAAAATTTTAAAATACTTTCTCTATCTAAAATTTTGACATACTTTTTCTCTCTAAAAGTTAAAATTTGAGATAGTTTATCTATCTAAAATTTTAGATAGTTCATCTCTCAAAAAAAATTTGGTACTTTCTTCCTCTAAAATTTTAACATACTTTCTCTTTCTTCTTTATAAAAAACATACTTTCTCTCTCTAAAATTTTAACATACTTTCTCTCTCTAAAAGTTAAAATTTGATATAGTTTTTCTCTCTAAATATTTTGAGATAATTTCTCTCTTTAAAAATTTTAAGTACTTTTTCTCTCTAAAATTTTCATACCTATCAAATGCTCCAGTATTTCGGGTTTGTGGAGCGAATGAGTAAAATCTATGGGCCTTTGAAATAAAAAAAAAATGTTTTGATAGAAGTCTTATTTTCATGATTTTGATTTTTTTGATTTTAAATATCCTAATCATTAAACAATTGATTTTGATTTTTTTGATTTTAAATATCATAGTCATTAACCAATCCAAAAAGAATATTTTGACAAAATCCAACATATTAAGAATCGATGTCGTAAAATCCATGTACCAAAACAGGGTCCGATTAAGACGGTGTTTTAAGCCGGAAAGTCGTCGACTCGTACCATTTCCAAGCGCGGGTAGATAAACATGAGCAAATATTTTCTTGATTATATTTTTTTGGGAAGTTCTTTATTAGCTATCTAGAAAACTAGAAATATAGAGAGCCTTTTCCTTCGGTGAAGGTAGAGGCTTGCTGGGTAGAGCTGTGAATGAGTTCAGCCTTTTTTTTTGTTTTTTTCCTGCCTGGAGCCACAACGATGGCTACATGGTGCATCCAGCCTCCCAACAAACCCTAATATTTACCCCTGATAACCCCCGCTCTCTTTTGTCTACCCGTTTATCTTTTTCAGAACTTTTTGATGGAATCCTCGCCTGAAAAATCACCAGAAAATTTAAGCTCTGGTGTGCCTGGAAGCAGGGGCGGGGATCTAGGGTTTCAGACTTGTGCCAGGCCCGTTCGCGAGGGTGTACGGTTGTCGCAGCAACGCAAATTGAACGGTTTCCTGCTTTGCAACGACAATGCTGAGGCTGAGTATGAGAAGAAGGTATCAAACACGTGGAAACGTGATCCTACTTCTACCAAAAAGGTATCAATCTTGAAGACGCCATCAATGTTTTTTTCTTGTGTTTCGCATGTCTTACTCAAAACTTCAATTGACTCAAAACCATTGCAAAAGTAGATTTGTTTGCTGCTTGGTTTATGTAAATGATTTCCCGTGGGAGGTTGATTGGATGGGCTCTGCTAAATTTTGTTCAAGCTGCCAATTTTTTTCTAAATCGTTCGTGGTAGAGGAGTTTAGTTCAAATCTTTGCATGTTTCTATTGTTTTTATTTGCATTGTGCTTTTTCCTTATTATGGAGAAAGGATATCTCCTCTTAGACTTAAGCTCATGTTGCACGCTCCTTTAAGAAATAATTTTGTTGACGAGCCCCTAGGATATGCTTTTCAATTGGTTCTCAAATTCAATTCAGGTAACTTGTTTCTGAATGTAGTCTGATACAAATTCTCACCTCAATGGCTCCGCCAGTGTGGTTATTTTGGATTAAATGTTGAAGATCTTCATGAGTGTGCTAAGTTTTATTGATTCACTTTAGATTAGGCAACGACTTGTTTGGAATTTGTCACTGTCATGAATGTTATCTGATATTTTCAGTTAATTATAGAGACTTTTAGTGCTTTTAAGTGAATTGAGATCATTGATAAGTGAATTTCCTTGGGAGTTTGGAGTAAAAGCACTGAATCAGTTAGAAACATAGAGGAATTTCTTCAAGAAAATCAGCATTCTTTCAAATCCTATAGTATCTAGTTGATATGCGCATCATTAGCTCTTTTGGGTACAGTGTTCAGAAAAATTACACCTATGGGGCCATACAAAAGCACACCAAAACTTTGGATAGTTTTTGATAAATTTGTGACAGTGGAGAAGTGTTACTAAGGATACCAGTACATAATCCATAAATTTGAGCAGCAGATGAGAACAACTTCTCATGGAATGCATGTGAGAACATCAGATTCAGTAAATAGGGAGTTTGGTAGTTTCAAGGGTAAGGTGAATTTGTGTACCCATTTGTTGTGTTTTAAATGGATAATTCTCTTAATAAAGTCTGTTTTCTTTTGGAACAGAGAAACTTTACCAAGTCCTATTGTTGTTTTGTTTTTGGATTCTATTGCTGCAATTGCTGGTGCTATGTTCCTACCGCTTGCAATGCTTACATGTCATTATTTTCTTTGGCCATATAACCAAGACTTGAGCTATGATGGTTCACAAATAATTGCCATAAATATCACTACGCAAAACCCTTACTATAGGTTATCAAAGAGAAATGAAAATCCTAGTGTAAGATGAATATGTGAGGAAGATGAGAAGGAGATTGGATCTTGCCAAAAACTGAACTGAACTAAACTTCCCTGAACCCTAACTGAATAGCTTCTAAACAAGCATGTACTTTCCTCAAAACACTCAAATCAAATGAGGTCATCTGATGCAATATTAATTTATTTATTACATATAGATTTTATAATTTTAATATAGGCTTTTGCATTAAAAGATGAATACTAATAGTCTGTAGACTTTTCCCAACCGAAAGCAATGATAGATGTCGTCCCAAACTAAGAACATAAACTGCACCAAATTGAAATAGGTGACAGATTGCAAATCTCCTTCACGAACAAAAGTTGTAAAGAAGATTGCAATAAACTGCCTAAAAAGTTGTGTGGAACAACAAATATAGAAAGCCCCAATTGCCAACCAAAAATTCAAGTGAAGGACTCAGAAAAGTTGAGAAAACAGGTTATGTTGGTGAGGCATGTCACAAAACATTAGCTTGAATGAAGTCACAAATCACTGTGTGAAATAAGCAACCACATATTGTCCTAGGCAGTTTACGTCTTTATTGGAACAAAATAAGTAAATGCAGGCATTGTTTCAAAAAACAGTCCGCTCGGTGCCTAGGCGCTGGGCGGACCCAAGGCACATCCTAGGCTTGGCTGGCCCTCCCTAGGCGCAGCCGCCCAGTGCCCAGTCATTTTTTTTTTAAGAACAAAGTGGCCCTAGGGGGCACCTCGGGTCATTTTTGACCCATGATTTTTTCATAACAGGCCTTTGGGGGTATTCTAAAACCCAAAGTCGAAAAATATTGGAATCTAACCCCCAAATCTATTGATTTTGAGATCTATGTGGATTGAAAATAAAAAGATGAGATTTTTTAAGTTTTTTCGCTAAATTGAAAAAATAAAGTGAAATTTTTTTTTTCTAAGCCCCAAATTTATGGACTTTTTAAAGCTTTTTCACTAAATTTTCAATGATTTGAAGTTTCAGACATGTTTATTCTTAATGTTCGATATGTTTGTACTGAAAAGGTTAGTTACAATACATATAAATGCAATTGTGAAGTTAACATAAATATTTGCATATATGTGCATTTGGACAGCACGTATATGTATATATTTGCATATTTTTATTAGAGGGGTCAAGGAGCTTGAGGTTCTGGGCTCCCTCCTAGGTGCCCTAGACACTGGGTACTAGGCCCTCCTGCCTAGGGGGCCGCCTAGCATTTTTTGAGACCTTGAATGCAGGTTTTTCTGGGCAAATCACGTTCTCACTTTAAAACCAACTAACCCAACATTATGGCCAAAATATTTTGATATTTTGTGTTCGTTCAGATGTTGAAGGTGGATATTAAAATGAATAAAATAAACTTGTTCCTTGAGAACCCTCAAAGAAAGGCCTTTACAGTTCCCAAATATTGAAAAACCTAAGCATCATGTATGGACCTGCATGAGAGGAAGCTCCAATGATCAGAATGGATGATACAAGGCTCACATGTTTGAGCTGTATATGTAAATCATCAGTACTAAAACGGCCTCAGGCAACAAGGACATGGCACATGAGACTTACAATGACTCATGTTGCATACCTGTTGAGATGGCTTTAGTGTATTTGTTTTGCCAAAAAACGACTATGCGTACTTTGCACATGGGTATTTTGGAAACTTAGTCTTTTATTTTCCTTGGTCTCTATAGGAATAGGATATCTTAGGGAATGTAGACAGTGATCCAAACGGTATGTTTGGAAAGTTTACCAAACTTGAGGACATTGTTTTTTGTTCCCATCAAAAGTTGGTCCAGTCCTTAAAGGACTCACTAGTCACTAGGGACTGGTTGGGCTTTCTGAGGATGTCAAATTATTGAGTAAAAGCAGAGGTTCTCTTGGGTGATGACCTTTTATTGAAATTTTGTTACCTTTTATAAATGCCAGTATTTTGAGGGGTTTAATATTTGAAGGTGTCACTATAGACCTAGGGATTTTCCATAGAGAGGGAGACATCTATTTTGCGATGAGCTACACCAATTAGTAAGAAGACATGGGGGCTTTGGTTTAAGATAATAGAGGAAATGCAAGAGAGCTTACTACCATTTTGCTATGAGCTACATCAATTAGTAAGAAGACATACTTCTGCATAAGTTACTTGTTTCTTTTAGAGAAGTGATCCTTTTCTCTCAGGAGTGTCGTACTGCTTTCATCTCCAGTGTGAGGATTTTCAACATACATGCTGTTTGTTTCTAGTTTGGTTAGAATCTTAAATTAGAAGCACTGTTTTTTGTGAGCTTATTATATTCCATTGCATGCCATGCTGGGGCACTTTCTACCAAGCCCCAAGGACTTTGAAAGCGATCCATTGATGATAACTGAGAAAGATTCTGAGAAGAATGATAGGCGAAATTTATGAATGTGGTGCGGACTCCCTTTTTTGTGGCTTAATTGAACTTCAGTTTATTGAATCAAGGGAAAACAAAAATGAACATAATTTTTAACTCAGTAACTAATAAGCCATATTTTCCTTTGTTCTTATGGTATGGATGTAGATGGTTGGATACCATTTAGAAGATTGGATCCATTGGACCTGCTTTATGTGAATAGAAGTTGTTGGTGTGGGCATGGTGGGGTTTCTGGGTTTTATAAATTTTACAATTTCATTTTTTTGTTAACTTTGGCAATATAAGCTATAAAACTTTTTGAAAGCCCCAAGATTTTTAATCCTCATTTGACTTCATCATAGCTGAGTTTACGAGTTGACTTTTACCACATTTCTGGAGCTTCAAAGTGATAAGAAATTGCAAGTCCATTGTGGCAGAAGTTCTTTGTCATTATGCTTCTTGAAACTGGATTTCCCTTCATGTTAGGATTCTGAAGTTTTGTGGCACAACATCTGCATCAATGTTTAAGAGTTAGCCATCAATTCATACTTTTTTCTCCTATCCTTCAATTTATTATTGTCTGTTAGTTTACATGTTAAAGAATTTTCCATCATTCTTATTTCAAATAAATCTTCTCTCTCTCTCTCTCTCTCTTTTATTTATTTCAATAGCCCTTAATTTCTAGTTGTGCTCCCTAAGGATTTAAGTTTGGGCTTGCTTGGTTAAGGTGTTAAAAATTGCAACACTGCATTCCATCCATATTTGAAACATTGAATCTCATATCTGAACTATTACTCCCTTATTTTCTCTCTCTGTTTGTACATGATGTGTCTGCCTATGATCCTGAGTGTTCTCTAAATTATTTCTTCTTGTGTTTGAGAATTTTGTTGTAGACATTGGATGAAGGGGTGATAGACTTGAATGCAGAGCCGGGCAATTTCTCAATAAACATAGGCAAGGAAACATTAAATGATTGTTGTATAGCAGATAGTTCCACTGATAAGGAAATGTTGGTCTCGTTTAATGAATCTAATAAATCAGGTAATATGTGTATAAACTTAAAGTTTTGAATCATTCCTTTCGTTTTTTTTTGTTTCTTCAAATAGTTTCAAGAGCAGCTTTGTTGAAGTATGCATGAAGTATCCAAGTATTTCCTATGTGAATCAATTACTAGTTAATTTTATTTGGTGTTGTATTGTAGGTTCTGATTTTTTTACGAAAGTTTCAAAGAAAAGAAAGCAAAGGAATCAGCAAAACAAATTTCCAAATGACTATAATGGGACACCCATAGGTTAGTATTGTTTGTAAATTTACGTGGTCTTCCTTTGTAACTATATTGAACTGGACATTCGCTTGTTGCATTGTCTGAATTTCATATTTCCTTTGATTTATAAGTTATATATTGCCTTAGATGCTTACATGAACATGCCCAAGTTGCATATAACTGTTTTGGTTGCTTATGCAAACTTTTTGGTTTGCTTTTGCGTATTTAATTGTTGGTACTAATGAATTTTTGATACCGAGTATTATACCAGAGAAATTTAGACCAATTTAGAATCATTGGAGTGCAGCTTCGTAAAGTGGACAATGATTTGGTGTCAAAACAAAACACACTTCAACCTATCATTCAATTAACATAGGTTTGAAAGCAATGTTGTGAGGCTTTGATGTTTCATTTGACATACAATGCCGTTCCTGTAGGCAGGTTGCCACTCTAAGATGTTAGTCAATTCACACCAGTAATTAGTGTCTTTAATCTTTATGAGAATATACTCTTACCTCCACGGAGTCCCTGCTGAACTCTTGCTGTTTTAATATGTTGAGTGCATGACTCTCAACCATGTTGGAGTTCCAAAAAGCTAGCAGTGGCAATGTTTGGATCATAGTTGCTGGGATCTCCCAACCCAAGTGGGTATCCCACTCCAGAATCTCGCTCCCACGTTTCAGAAAAGGGATCTTTAAAGGGTCTTATTTTTAAATTTTGGGATCTCGATATTCCTTGTTAGGGATCTTGATCCCCATTAGTATGGATCTCGATCTCAACCTTAAAGACCAAGATAATATCCAAAAAGATGATTTTTAAGCCAGCTAGTAATGAAACTACAAAATAATTACATTGCTTGCTGTCCATGAAGAAGGAGATCCCTACTTTGAAGGGTATGTATACTTCTAGACTATATATACTTTTTAAGCTTAGGAGAAAAATCCCCAAAGGTCGGGATCAAGATCCCTAAAAGGTTAGGGTTGGGATACTTAACATTTGATCTCAATCCCTAAGATACGCATTGTACAAACATTGCTTCTAACCATAGGGATGTTCAAGCCTTTCACAATCCCACTGTTCCTGATCCTTATATAGCTCTCAATTCTCTTTCGATCCCAACAGTTATAGTTTGGATCCTTTAAGCTTGTCCTTACCTCTGATCCATGAGTCTTGTTAGCTGCCATTATAACATTGTTATATCTTGAAATACTACTTCAATTCAGATTTTGAAACCTTGAATGCCGTGTATCATTGCAGAAAATGAACCGACCTGTTGATTGGAATGAAAATTTTTGTGAGTGATTGGTTTTTTTTTGTTTTACTTTTCTTTCTTTCTTCTTTTAGTGAACAATTTAGAAAAGCAAAAGAATTTTTAGACATCCCCCCTGAAATTTTAGCTAATAAAATTCCTAGAAACCTGTAGTTCTGAGCCCTATGGATCACACTAAGCTTATTGAGTTATAGTAACCCTTCAAAACTGACCCAAATTCGACTGAAAACCAAGCCTAAATTGTAGGGGAGATCTCAAATTTTCCAATGGTCTAAGAATCACTCAAATATGATATAGCATTTGAAAGTTATGGCCTGGACAAAATTTGTTCAAAAAATTCCATCCAAGTCCTCGATGCACGACACAATATGTGTCGTGCAAGACCTGTACGTATTGTGGCATGTTGCAGGCCCATGGGCCCACAAAAGGCTTCTTGTCGTGCAGGCCCTTTGGGCCCATAACACACCTGAAACTTCTGGAAGCTCCCAAATAAGCCTTTGAAGGCGGTTTTGACTGAACATATAAGCACAATTTCTTAGAACAATTTTCTCAAGATAATTTCAAAAACTTATTTAGATGACCTCAATCTATATGAACCCCCTTAAAATCCCAGAAAAAGTATCGAAAAAATCCAAGAAAATTAGAAATACCCTGAAATTTCTTGAAAAATCCCAAGAAATTTGAAATTCCCAAAAAATCCAAAAAATTCCCTATGTTTGAAAAATCGGCCACCTAATTGAATGAATTGCCAAAACGCCTAGACGGGGCATCTAGGCAGCTTGTATCTAGGCGCCTGCCTAGGTGACACCTTACTCACCTAGGCTGTTTAGTCAAGGCGGCGCCTAGGCACCGTCATGACGCAACTTGCTAAGGGTGGAAAACACCTTACCCACCTAGGCGGTGTAGTCAAAGCGGCTGCCTAGGCACCGCCATGACGCAACTTGCTGAGGGTGGAAAAATGCTCTCAGGCAAGGTCAGTTTAGTAAACTTTTTCCATCAAATAGGGGGAAAAGGGTTTTGGGGACATTCTAAACCCACAACCTAATCTGTGGCTTCTAGATAGATAAAAACTCCCTAAAAACCTCGAATTTGTGATTTATTGAAAGATCAATAAATTTTTGATTTTTTTCGATTTCTTCCAAAATCAAAGGCAAATAGTTCGTGGTAATTTTTGGAGCTTCTAGTGGTTGATTTTTAGGACTTTTGGCGATCCAATAGATGAGGTTTGGGCCGACATCGTTCTGATTTTGTTATATTTAGAGTATTATCATATTTGAATAAGGGTTTTGATTTTTTTTTGCTATAATGTAATATGTTGTGAATCATTTGTTTTTTATTTTATTTTTTTCTTTTTATAATATATTTACATGCTTGTATTTAAAAGATTGAAGTTTTTTTATTATTTCCTCATTTTGTCGATGAAATTGGGCCTATATCAAATTCTTTTATGAATAATTGATTCTTGTTTTGTACAATGTGTGATGTTTTGATATTTTATTAGTTTTGTTTTACTGTTTTGATAAATTAATAATTATTTTATATATTAATTCTTATGTGAAGTTTTATATGATTATTATTTTTAGATTGATATGATATGCTCATTGTTTCATATTATGTGATTTTTGTTTCATATTATTATTTTTTATATTATGTTATCATTGTAAAGTTTTCTACAAGGACATTCTGGATTTCAAGCATTTTCATGTCCTACAATCTCTTTGAGTCTTTATATTCGTAAATCTGTTTTGTGACTGTAATATTATGTTTCTTCTTTTTCACGAGGGGTTTGGGGCTAAAACATTGTCCTAATCACTCCTTAAGGCCTAAAACCTTGTCCTAGGAACTCCTTAATCTTTTTGTTTGGGGGAGTGCGGGATCCCCTGCTCCTGGGTGGGTGCCTAGGCGTTTTAGGGTTTATTTTCTCTACCTTCTAATTTATTTTCTTAATTTTTCTATTTTTTGTCTCCTGAGTTTTTTGTTTCCATAGTTTCTTTTTTGGTTTTAAAAAGAATATAAAAATAAAAAAATAAAAAAATAAAAAAATAAAATAAAAAAATAAATACTAGTAATTCCTTTTTTCTTTTCGGCATCTTAAGCTAGTTTTGTTTTGTTATGCTCCCTCCGCACCCCACATTTTTTGCACCCACCGCATGTGTTTGCTGTTCAATATGTGCGATGAACTTTTGCCACTGTGGACTTGCAATTTCTTATCATATTTGAGCTCAAGATGAGCGGTGAACAACAAATACGCGTGGTGGGTACGAAAATGTGTGGTGAATTGACAATATGACAAAACAAAATTAACCTAAGATGCAGGAAAGAGAAAATGAATTACTAGCATTTATTTATTTATCTTATTTTCTTTTTTATTTTACTTTATTATTTTTTATATTTTTTTGAAACAGGGAAAAGAAATTGAGAAAATAGAAAACTCAGGAGACAAATCCTAGGAGTGCAAGTCTAGCGCGAGTCAATAAGACTAATTCTCAACGAGTTAATCCGACTCTCATTTGTACTTTACCAAGTCGTATTGACTTGTGCAGAACTCAGAATTTTGTCGGGGATTTTGTGAAATGTTTTTTTAGAAAATAAAATCTAAAAATTGCATGAAACTTTTGATGATCTAAGTGATACGAAATTTAAACTTAGCGGCCTCACGATGGGCACCAAAGTACATATCTAAAATGGATGCATATCTGAACAGATCTGACCCTTTTTCAATATGCTAGTAGTGGCGTTTTAATTTCCACACCAAAGTAAACCTTTAAAAACAAAATATAAAGCTAAACTAGGAAAATAAGGAAATAAATTAGAAGGTAGGGAAACATTGTTTCAAAAAGTGGTCCTCTAGCACTTAGGCATGATGGGGGGCGTGGGCGCACCACCCAGGCCTTGGGCGGACCAACTAGCGGGTTGTCCTTGGGCGCTCGCTTAGTACTCGCCTAGGCGGGCGCCCAGGGGACTGCGCCCAATTAGGTGAATAAATGCCCATCAGGTGGGGTGTTTTTTGTGTTTTTTTTTTGGATTATAAAAAAATGCATGAATATGCATATTTTGTACAAAACATGTGCCAAAAATTTGGTTACTGGACACCATTTACCCCCTTTTGAACCTAGGCGGTCCAGGTTCGAGGCGGCCACCTAGGTGCTGGGGGGCCACCTAGGCGCTGGGCAGCCTAGACCTCTCGGCTGCCTAGGTGCCGCCTGACTTTTTTGGAATACTGTAGGGAAATAAATGAAATACATGGTAAAATAAGAGATTACGTACGTAGCAATTGAAAACCAGGATTTTCAGGTTTGATTAGGTTGCTTTTTCGTACACCTTCTCGTTTTGGATGCATTGTGTTGAAGAATTATTAGGGTGCCTAATGGATATGGAAAAGCCATTGGAATTAAGATTTATTTTCCTGGATCTATGTTTTCTAATTCCCAAACGGATTTAGTGTTTATTGGTGTAGGAAAAAATTAGGGCTAAGTTTTCTTAATTATTTTTCCTAGGTATTTTTTTATTTTTAAGGCATTTTATAATTCTACGGAATTATTAGGGAATTTTTAGATTTTTGGGGAATGTTGAATTTCCTAGGATTTTTCAATAATTTTCAGAGTAATTCTAATTTTCTAGGAATTTTTTGGATTTTCTGGGTACTTTTCCTTGGTATTTTCAAGGGGTTTGTATAGTTTGAGGTTAGGAGCACTTCGTGAAATTTCTAAAACTTGGTTCCTATTTATCTAAATAATTTTTTCTAATTATCTTGAGA